TGATGGTGGTGATGGTGGTGGTGGTGGTGGTGGTGGTGGTGGTGGTGATCTGATATTCGGAAGCAGTGATGACAATGGTGGAGTGGTAATGGTGTTGGTGGCGGTGGTGTCGTGTGCTGTCAAAGGTAGCTCTCAGCAAGTTCTGCCCTGGGCTTTGCCTGTACTGGGCTCTTCATCCAGTCAAGGAGGACAGGAGACCTGGGATTGCCCTCCGTGTCCCTCCCTGCTCTGATGGATTGTATTTGTCTTTCACTCGGGTTCTGGCCTTCTTTGGCCATCACTGCCTCCTTCCCCAACCCTTTCCCTGCTTCTAGATTTGTTGCTGAAATCATCTCAGACAGCTTGGGTTTGGGAAAGTTATGCACCCCCATACGTACCCCCCCCAAAATAACACAGGACTGCCACTCCTCTCTTCATGATTTAATCAGTCAGTACTGGGGCACCTGCAACTATTACCCAGCACCCCCCAAGGCAGCTGGGGTTCTCCCTGCCCTGTGCTTGCACGATTCCTTTCAGTTGGGTTAACTCTTTGCTATTCCAGTGACTATGTATGCATTTCTCTTCCATCACCAGGTAGCAAGATCCCTTCAGAGACTTGTCTCTACCCTATAGCACCACACAGGCCCTGCTCATGGTGGTTGGAGGTGTGTGTGTGTGTGTGTGTGTGTGTGTGTGTGTGTGTGTGTGTAAAACCTGAAACTTGTGCTCTTTAAGACAGGGGAGCTGGGTGCAGACCATGGACAGCTGACCCAAATTCCTGTAAGCTCATCCTGTTTTCTTGCTTAATTGTAGGCTTATTCATCACCAGTCCTGCTGTTTAAATGTTCAGTTCTGAGGCCGGAAGTCTGACTGTTAGGAAACACTTCTGCCTCTGCAAACAAAACTCCATGTCCTTGGACATGTCACTCAACAGGAAATGTCCACTGCCCTTCTTTTAATAAGACAGCTTAACTGCAACAAGGATAGTCCACAAAAGACTACACTTCCCAGAAACCCTTGTACTGAGGACTGGCCAATGACATGGAGCAAAGCCCAGATGAAACCTGGGAATCTGCTTAAAGCATGAGGACTATGTTGGGACACCCAAACTCCTCTGTTGCCCTCCTACTTGGCAAGTGGACTAGAAGGCAAGAGTTCCCCTAGCTATGATGCCACTGTGAGGATAGGGGTAACTGGTGCCTCCAGGAAGCCATGCTAAGCCTGGGCTGCTTTGATCTATGAAATAATCAGTGGTTTGCTTAGGCTAATACAACAGGGAGAATGTACTTCCAAATGGATACAGCTACTATTGGCTTTTGTCTAAATGAATTAATGCCTCAGATTGGAATTCTGGACCTGCAAAGGGAAGGTTCCAATGTGGAATTTGGATCCAGATTTTAACATGTGGCCAAACCAGGAACACAGCTGGCAAGGGGCTTCCTAAAGCACCTCCACCGGAGATTATCCTTATATAGCATAACCAATATGCTGGCAGAGCTCTGGAAGACCCAAAGGCCTAGGGTTGCCTGCATTTAGTTTGGTATGAGTTTGTGTTGGAGTCAAGGTCTGCCCTCAAGCCTGGAGTCCAGTGGATGGCTTAGGTAGAAGAGAATTTAAGAGTGAGTGAGTTGATCCTTGCTGTGGGATGGTTGCTCCAGTGCAGGCTAACTTTCTTGCTGTGTTGCTCATCAAATACCCATCCATGTCTGTGTGTTCAAACTGGTCTGAGGCCCAGGCCTGTGGATCTGGTACCTTCAGGACTTAGCACAGCCCAGCTTACAGCTTGCTCCAGGCATGTCCAGATGAGGAAAGAGATACTGAACCCATCAAGGAGCTGCAGTTCCAGTCTTGACATGAACCCTAGAGCTAACCCAGGGGGTAGTATTCCTAATCCTTGGCTTCCAAAGACCTGCAGGATTGGCTGTAATTCTAGGAGACCCAGCCAAGTGCATCTAAGTGCATCAGAGCCAGCTAACTCTTTTGAGTTGAGACTGAGTGATCAGGACAGGGCAATGAAGGACGCAGGATGGAGACCAGATAGAGACTTGTACTCTACCCTTGATTGCCTAGACAAAGTGGTCCGAGTTCACCAACCTTGTGTATGTGTGTGTATGTGTGTGTGCACACGCATGCACGTTTGGGGGCATGTCCTGGAGCTGGCAGAAGCTTCTAGACCAGTGGTTCTCAACCTTTCTAATGCTTCAACCCTTTGATACAGTGCCTCATGTTGTGGTAACCCCAACCATAAAATTAGTTTTGTTGTTATTTCATAATTGTAATTTTGTTACAGTTACGAAGCATAATGCAAATATCTGTGTTTTCTGATGGTCTCAGGCAATCCCTGTGAAGGGGTCGAAAGACCCCTAAAGGGTTGAGACCCACCCACCGGTTGAGAACTGCTGTTCTAGAAGCTTGTTTCATTTATACTTTATTTAATTTCATAACGGATTTGGATCAGCTTGTAAGCCTATGCAAAACATAAGATAATACAACACTTGAGAAGATGAAGGCACATAAGCTAAGTACTTAAAATAGAGAATGAAAATGTATGTTACATCAAATATAAATCTCAGAACAAACCGACTGTTTCTGTGATGTCTCAGGATCGCAGTTCATGAGCATATGGGTGGGTATGCTCTAGGGAGAACGGGAACAAATCAACCCAATGTGTTTCCAAGGGCCCTGGGGTCTTCTTCACTGAGGTGGCCCTTTGCTGCTTGTTGCAGGTCGACTGGGCTGGGGCGGGGATTGGCAAGCTAGGGATGAGAGCTGCATTTGTCTATTGGGGACTTGCGTGGATTCCTGGTCAAAGAACAGCCTTTTTGTCTTCAAATGGTTAGGGAAAAAATCACAAGGCCATTAATATTTCAAGCTCATGAACATTACATGAGATGTCTCCGTATCTGTAGCAGGTCCTGTTGAAACAGTGCCTGCTCACTCATGTGTCCTTTGTCTCACTCAGTTACTACCAAAGACCACTGACTCACAAGGCTGATGCCCCAAATGCTCTCTGCCCCTCTGTAGGCTCCCTGGCTCATGTCCTGGCATACTCTTGGGCCTGTCTGTAATCTTATCTTGCCTGACCAAGCCACCTGGCACCCTCTGCCACTCCTTACACTCATGGCCATCTTCCAACCCTTGAGCTGGCCCACAGGAGACCAGGCTGCACCGCCAGTCACGGTCCTATGGCAGAGGGACCAGGGTGTGAGTGACTGAGACACTGTTGTCCTTAGGCCTCTTCAGCCATGGAGTCAACTTTTGTTTTCATCCATTTTTTGGCAGAATGGACTGTCTCTGTGTGAAGAAGGGCCGTGGGAGATAAAATAGGGAAAAGGAAGGAGGCAGACAGAACCAGACACCCAGGTGTGAGGACTGATGATTGGCCCAAGTTTGCCAGTGTCCTGATGGACAGCCCAGGCCTTTCCAGTAGGAGGAAACAGTGAAATCTGCTTTCCTGTCTCAGCTCTTGCTGCATGTTAAGTGGCTATTTAAGAACTGTCCCCAGGGAACCAGTCCTATGGCCCTTTGGTCCCCTTCTCTCTCCATTCTATCTGTGCCCAGACTCCTGATGCCCTGGTTCTACTTCCTGTCATGTTCTGACAATTTCCATGGACCCTCAGCCCCACTTGGAGGAGGCCACAGTATGGTTTTGGGGGGCAGAGACTACCTTGGCCAGGACCCCGGTCAGCGTCAGCTCTAATCCAGGCACCTGGAGGCCCGGGGCTCGGAAGCTGCTAGCCGAATTGAGCACATGCCTTCCGATGAAGTTCCTCTTGGGGGTTATGCACAGCTGTGGGCTTGTGTCAAAGAACTGGTTCAGGTGTCTGTGTTCAGGTTTGGCTCAGGGTGGAACAGGCTTCTTTTTAAAAAGTGTGATTTAAAGTATAATCCCTGGCTAATTTTAGGGTCTGATTTGTGGCTGAGCAGATATAAAATTGCCACTGTGGCTTCCTTTTCTGTCTGAGTAGGTGGCTGGAGGGAGGGCAGACTGCTGGGTAAAATAAGGGTTGCCCCTGTGGCCCTGCCTGCCTAGTAGCACGCTGGCTTGCTGGCTACAGTAAAATTTTCCACAAGAAGTTCCAGAAAGGAGAGGAGCACAGGGGTGGGAACAGTCCCCCTGGATACCGTGATGGTAGAAAGGGGTGGAGGATGGGTAGAAGAGGGCAAGATACAGGCAGCAGGGGTACTTAGGATGCAAAAGTCCCTCATGGTTGTGTGGGGGAAGGGACAGGAGACATGGTGGCAGTGCAGCCAGGCCCTCTCTGAGCAGTGTTCTTATTGGGTGGCTCTCACCACGTGTGGCACATCACTTCCTCCCATCACCTCTTAGAGAGGTCAGCTTAGTCACAGTTAACAGGGAGGAGTATTTCTGCACTTGAGCCGTGTTCCACGTTTGCTGTCTTGCTCCGTGATTTGAATTGAGGATAACTCCTTTTCTTCGACCCAGATTTGCTCCAAAGTGGGGCGAGGGCCCCAGCTTTTGGCCCGCATGGCAGATATAGCTGCTAAGGGTCTTGGCTTGCTCCTGCCTTCCTCTCTGAGTTCTAGCTCTTCAATCACTTACCTCTTGGGGTCTCTCTGAGATCAGAATGAAGCCATTGTTGTCTATGATGAAGCAATCCAGATCCTGGGAGAGAGGCCGAGACAGGAGGTCAATGGCCAGGGCCATTGCTGACTCTAGTCCTCCTGCTCACTCAAAGAGCTGAGGAGGGCTGGGCCCTGCAGGCAGGGTCAGGAAGGAGGCATTCGGGAAGGAAGGAAGTAGGGACATAGGACACTGGACATCTGCCTGTGTCCTCCTTCAGAGATAACTTACAGTGTCCTCACAGCTCTTCGGGCATGGCCCCTCCTCAGTGCTGCACTGGAAGGAAGAGGGAACACTGTGAACGGTGTGTCCTTCGTGGGTGCGAGTGCACACGTTTATGTGTGTGCCTGTGTGTTGCATCGTGTGACGTATGTATCTATATGTACGCCATGTGTATGTGTTAAAGGTAGGTTTATGTGTGGTGTGTATGTGGAGTGTTTGGACACATTTTATGTGTGGTATGTATATTCTGTGTGCTTGTGTATATCTGTATATGTGCAGTGCGCTATGGTTATGAAGAATGGCTTGTATGTGAATACATATGGACTGTGTCTTGTAAGAGGAAGGTCTGTCTGTGTGTGTGTGTGTGTGTGTGTGTGTGTGTGTGCATGTATGTGTGTCTATATAGACTCATTGTGTGGTGTGTTTGTAAAGTGCCTATTGTATGTGGAGAATCTGCCTGTGGTAAATGGAGTTTATGTGGGCATGCCTTGTGTTCCCGGAGTATATGAGAACAGGCATGTACATACGTAGGTGTGTCTCAGCAGGCAGGGCACTGAGCAGCAGACTGTGCTCTCCTGAGGACAAACACAGGCCACCTGCCACCTGGCACTAAGGCTTTCATATGGTGAGTGGGTTCTTATTGGTTCCCTTCACCTCTGTGGCCCTTTTACCTTGTGCAACTACCTATGCCCAGGGCAGGGACCTGGCAGCCTGGAGTGAAGGAGTAGAGGGGACTTTTCACTGTGAGGATGACTCAGGCTAGAAGGACATGCAGAGGATAGTGTAGGCTCCTGGTGTGTGTGTGTGTGTGTGTGTGTGTGTGTGCAGAAGATGGGTAGGGGTAAGTGCTTAGGAGCCTGGACAGCAGACAGGGCCTGGGCCTTGGAGGGAGGGGCCAAGTGAAGTCCTACTCTGTAGCAGGCAAGGTTAGGGTGATTTGGGGGCAACAGCAGTAGCCCTGTTTTAGCCTTTGTCCTGGGTCTGATCAGGTGACAGAGCGCTGGAGTAGGAGGGGTAAGAGGCCCAAGATGCAGGGTCCAGAGAAGGTCGGAGAAGGCAGAAATAGAGTGGAGGTATCGCCTGTGGGACTGATGGGCCAGGCTGAGGACAGTCCTTCTCTATGGATGGCTTTTTGAGTCCTCTATCCTCTTCTGGGCCCCTAGCTGCCTACCTGTTTCATGGCTGCCCAGAACTGGCGCTGGAGGTAGTCCACTTGCATCTGGATGCCCACAGCTGCAGAGAGCAGGAAGGAGGAGGGCAAGGCCAAACGAATATTTGGGGAAGGAGGAAACAGAGAATAATAGAGCTCACTTAGAGAAGGCTTATTCACAGGGGCTTGAATAAGAGAGAATGCATGGAAGTGATGGCGCCTTAGTCGTTGGCAAAGGGATCTAGGGCTTCCGGGAGCACGAGTCTGGTTGGAGAAGGGGATCCAGGCTAGGGGATTCTCCCTGTGGGAAAAGCAATACCAAGAGATGCCCGAGAAAGTTCAGGCTCTGAGGCCAGAGAACTACGAGGATGGTTTCCTCTCTGTCCCTGGGAGCTTAAGGTCCACTCGCTGTGTGGCTCTTCTCCCTTGACACACGTGAAGAGAGGCTAGTGAGAGCACTGTCTGTGCAAGGTCACGGGTGAGAAGTGGCAAACCGAGTCTAGAATGAAGGCATTTGTGAGTCTGGAGGTTCAAAGGCCTCGTGGATCTCAGTCCTGGTGTAATAGCCCCTGTAGGCACAGTCTCTGTCGGCACACAGGGAGAGAAAACTGACTCGACAAGGCCAAGCCATAGCTGGACCACCCAAGTTGGCAAGGCCATTTCCTGGAGACCAGGAATACCGTCAATGCACAAATGCTTCCCTTTTGATGTCTCCCAACACAAGCGCCATCTGTCTCTTTGATTCCCAAATAGGTCTGGAGAACCCAAGGGGGCATTCACATACTAAGAGGAATCTGGGACAAAGAGCGACAGGAGAACTTGGGGCCAAAGAATAGAAAGAAAAGGCAGGCTATGCTGAACAGAAAGAGTGTCCAAAGTAGGCCAACTTCTTAGTGTCCAGAATAATATTAAAGGCATTTTGGGGGGCTTTGTTTGGGTAAGTTAGGCACCTTTACAGGCATAAGGGTGTTTAATCCTTCATAGACTGGCACTAGCCTCATTTAGACTTCATGGGCTGAGGGAACAGAACTGAGCAGAGGTTCCATGGTCAGCTAAGTTGCCAGTCAGGAAGTAACAAACTTAGCTTGTGTCTGGGGCGCCAAGCCTCTAAGGCATAGCTCTGAGTTCCCCTCTGTGTCTGGATGGGAGGCCTGAGCAGGCAAAATGGCCTGTAGCCTGTTGGTATACTGCATACTCTCATACATACTGAGCACAGGGAAGCTCAGGGTCCTCAGTCATTATGCCACCTGACTAAGAAAGTCTAAAGTCTGCCCCTCAACTGAAGAATGGATTGAGAAAATGTGGTACATCTATACAGTGGAGTACTACTCAGCAGAAAAAAGCAATGGAATCTTGAAATTCGCAGGCAAATGGATGGAACTAGAGGAAACCATCCTGAGTGAGGTAACCCAGTCACAAAAAGACAAACATGGTATGTACTCACTGATATATGAATTTTAGACATAGAGCAAAGGATTACCAGTCTATAATCCTCTTCACCAAAGAAACTAGGAAACATGAAGGACTCTAAGGGATAAATGGTCCCCAGGAATGGAAGTGGCATGAACTCCCGAACTAATTGGGGGCATGAGGGGGGGGGAAGGAGCTGCTACAATAAGAGCAAGAGAAGAGGAGAAGAGGAGAGGAAATGGAGGGGCAGAAACATTGAGTTGGGGGAAGAATAGAGGAGA